TCTGCCTGTATGCATTTTGAGATTTCATCTGCATTTGACAGTATATATATAAACAGAAGGGTGGCTAATGTTACACTGTATCATCCTGTGGTATGACCATTATGTGCCTCAGCTCATCAATTTTTTGTCCCAAGTCTTGGAGCTTTCAAAAAGTGTGTTGATGCTGAGAGTGATTCTGTTCTCCACTTTTTTTAATGGGTGCAATTTTAATTGACATAGAATCATAGAGCTATTCAGGTTGGAAAAGCCCATTGGGATCACCGAGCCCAACCATCATCCCCACTCTACAAAGCTCTCCCCTAAACCACATCCACCAACACCACATCCAAACGACCCTTAAACACATCCAGGGATGGTGACTCAACCACCTCCCTGGGCAGCCTATTCCAGTGTCTTAACCACTCTTTCTGTGAACATTTTTTTCCTAAAAATGCCCTTTTTCTTTTTGTCCACTGCCCTTTGGCATCCATTCTGACAGGAATCACCACAGGCTTTTCTGTGTCTCTTCTAACCTGCATAACAAAAAGGTTTCTTACTGCAAAGCTTTGAGGGATTTTCAGTTTTTCCTTTCCTTTATAAATAAGTTTATGTAAAAATCACTTACATAAATTTACCATTTTGTATGAGGTGTAAAGCACACTTGGATGGATGGCTTCATTTTAAAACCTGTGGCTTGACTTTCTGGTTCCAGAATTATCTCAGATTCTTATTTTATTTTTTTTTTCTGCTTTGAGCATTAGTTCAGACTTTCTTATGGAGACCTTTAGGATGCAGGAAAAAAATGATTCACTTGTATTACCTGGCTTCAGTACTTACTGCATAGGATATAATAGAGAGATGAGCTTAAAACATTCCTTCTGTGATAACTGACTGTCTCTAAGATGGATCACTGTCTCTGAACTGGGGTGACCACAGGGTTTACAGGTAGTGGGAAATATCTGTGGAGGAGAGAAAGGGAAGTCTGCTTTAAATGGAGAGGTGGAGGCAAGACAAGAGTGATGGTTTAAGAACCAGCTGCAGGAAATAAGGCTCTTTATGGAGAAGTGGTGTCTGTTGGGCCAGTTCATCACATGGTTTAAAAAAATATCACAGCTTCTTTTTTTTTGAGCAGGGGAGGAATATAGGAATTGGGATTCAGGCTGGGATGTACAAAAGCAGATGCACATGGGCTGTCTTCTCTTTGTAAGTACCTCCCAGAACTAGAAAACAGGAACTACAGAACTTTATTTAAATGCAGCCTATTCAGTGAAGGTTCAAGACTAGGCTCCAGGATGGAGGCTGATGACTGAGACTTCTTGAAAGTTCCTGCAGGATGATCATCTAGAGATGGTCTCTAGAACCAAAGTAATGATGATGATGGGGAATTTTGGGTCAGCAGCAAAAAAACCTCAATTCATCTGGGTGGAATTAGGGCCTCCAATGATTGAATGTCTGACAGAAGAGAAAGACTTGCAGTAGCAGAGATGCCTTCGTGGTGCCACTGTGATACATTCAGGACGTGGACTAGAACAAAGAACTTAAAACAAGATGGGAGATGCTTCTACATATCCCAAACTCCTCGAGCTCCTGCTAAATATTTCTGCAATGTCATTATCAGATTAGACAGAGCAGGATGGAAAGGCTGAAGTCACAAAGGCAGCTTGAAATACATCTGGATACACAAGATGTGCATGTTTTTATTCCTCTGAGTTTTGAAAGAATTATCACACCTGAGCAGGCAGGCACTAATTGCAGCTGCTCCCAAAGGGGTAGGGGGGGAAAGAAAAACCTGCTTGAAAACTGGAAGTAGAAATTTAACATAAAAAAATTCTGTATGTGCAGTTGGTTTGCTCATTTATTCATTATGGTGATAGTTACATCATCACAGTATTTATCTCTGTTGTTTTTGCTGTTGTTTTTTTTTTTTTTTAATTCTGTGTTTGATTTTCCTACTTTTGTTAGACAGCTGTTCTCAATTTCCATCATGAGATATCACTGGATTGAACGTACTGATTGGTCCTTCTAAGCAGCTCTTTCAAATGCAACAGAATTCCTTCTCTCAGATTTTTCAGATAAATACTGATTCTAATACATTTCTATAAATCCATTCTGTATTACTTTGCCTTTGTGAATCCAATACTTTTGCAAAAAAAGCCCACCAAGCTTCATATATGGTATTTAGAGGTTTCACCAAACTACTTCTAGAAAAACCCAAATAACATGCTAGGAAATGAAATACAGTATTTCCAAACTGAAATACAAATGGTACAAATAACATGACAGGAACTCTTTAATGGCTTAATACAGAATGCTGAAGCTATTGTCTGTGACTCTGCAGTTGGACTATTTTTGATGTGCCTTCACAAAGCAACAAGAGCTGGTGTCGAGCGTCACTGTGTTGGTATGTTGTTCATTGCTCTTTTTCCTAATTAATTAAAATTGTTGAGGGACAATATACTGCTCCTGCCAAGAATTTTTCCCAAAGAAAGGACTTAATTTCTGTGAAAACTTACTTGCAGATTAGAGAAACAAATTATCTTAAAATTACACTAAATAAATGTGTGCTTAATCAAACTTTTGCCTACCAATTAAAAAAAGAACAACACACCTTTGCTGTGTGACACAACACTGCGTTACATTGGCTCTGGTCTAAATGGCAAAGGTGGCAGTTCTATCATCTAGCAGGCTGTAAGTTCAGTGCCAACTTTTTCTGTTATTGTTTTCTCATTTTCTTAGGCTACAAAGTCAACCTCTAATAATGAAATATACAATTTTTAATGTTGGGTGAAGATCTCTGAAAATACTCAACTACAGAATTATTAAAAAACACCCTTTTCTCACAATTTAGAGGTGCCAGATAAATATGAAATATATTAATGTTCAACTATTGACCCTTTGAAATCACCCAGCATCCTCTTTGCTGCAATGCAGGGTTGCCAGCAGGCCCAGGGAGGTGAGCAGCACTGCTGAGGTAGCACCTGTAGCACTGTGTCTGGTCTGGGGCTCCCCAGTTCAAGAGAGGCACAGACATACTGGAGAGACTTCTTTGAAGGGCCACAAAGAAGGTGAAAGGACTGGACCATCTCTCAGATGAGGAAAGGCTGAGAGACCTGGGACTGTTCAGCCTGGAGAACAGAAAGCTCAGGGAGGATCTCATCAACATGTATAATAAATACTTGGATCACAGAATCACTGAATAGTAGGGGTTGGAAAGGACCTCCGAAGATCGAGTCCAACCCCCCCTGCCAGAGCAGGACCAAAAAAAAATAGGGCAGATCACTCAGAAAGGCATCCAGACAGGTCCTGAAAGTCTCCAGAGGAGACTCCACAACCTCCCTGGGGAGCCTGTTCCAGTGCTCTGTAACCCTCACAGTAAAGTTCTTCCTCATGGATGGAAGATGTTAATGAGGACAGAACCAGGCTCTTTTCAGTGATGCCCAGTGACAGGCCCAGAGGCAATGGGCACAGGCTGAAACAATGGAGGTTCTGCCTGAATACCAGGAGGTGTTTATTGTGAGGGTGACCAGGCCTTGGCACAGCTTGTCCAGGGAGGTTGTGGAGCCTCCATCCTTGGAGATATTAAAAAGTCATCTGGACATGTTCCTGGGCAGCCAGCTCTGAGTGGCCCTGCTCAATCAGGGTGTTGGACCAGATGACCTCCAGAGGTCCCTTCCAACCTCAGCCATTCTGTGATTCTGTGATGTGCAGGTCTGCAGTCTCATCACTGTACTGCACAGAAGACAGATACTGCTACCCTCTCCCTTCAGGTTTATGTCTCATAGGTGGAGGTGCCACCATGGTACTATCAACAAGCTGGTCATCTCTTAGACACCACCCATCATCTGGCAGAACTCTTGCTCATCAAGCTGTCTGTGGTAAACCCTGTTTTTGGAGCCTCACTTCCTTATTTACAGAATGTAGTTGTCCACTTCAGCACTGAACCCTAGAACAGGACATCTGATTTTACATCCCTTAGTCCTTCAAAATTCAGGAAAAGATGCTAAAGAAATTGAAAGTACATAATACAGGTGTATGGTGTATATACATGTGAGTACATATGTGTAAAGTGTAACTTTAATGATGGTTTTTATTTTTTCAGCAGAGGGCAGTGGTAGGATAAGGCGTAATGGTTTTAAACTGAAAGAGGGGAGATTTAGGTTAGACATGAGGAAGAAATTCTTCCTCATGAGGGCAGGAAGGGGCTGGAACAGGTTGCCCAGGGAGGTTGTTGATGCCCCCTCTCTGGATGTGTTCAAGGCCAGGTTGGATGAGGCTTGTGCAGCCTTGTCTGGTGGGAGGTGTCCCTGCTCATAGAAGGGGGGTTGGAACCTGATGGTCTTTAAGGTCCCCCCCAACCTGAACTATTCTATGATTATATAAATTGCAAAATCCTATACCATTTACCATTAATTTATAACCAGAGTTAATGCATATATAACTAATGTAAATTTGTGAGTTTTTTCCTTTAGATTATCACCTTCAAAATGTAGTATGTGTAAGAGGACTATTTTTTTACTATATATTTTACACTGAAAAATCTAATGCAAAACATTCTTATGGGCATGTTTTTATTAAACATGAAATACAACACATCCATCAATATTTTCAGCAGTTCTTAGATCCAATTTTGTATTTTTTATGTATAAATTAAAAAAGTTGACTATTTAAACTACATTAATACATAGGCTACAGAACACTTGTCAGAATTTAGACCATAGCCCAAAATTTCTGCAAATTACAAGATCTTTTAGTCTTTTATTTGATGTGTCAAAATTCAATTACCAATATGATTTCTGAAAGAAGGAAGATGAAACAAGAAAGGACAAATCTGCATAAAGGAGTAAGGCCACTGGGGGCTAACTCTGTGTTACCAGAGTCAATACAGTAGTCACTTTCAACTTCCTAGTTGTCTTGAGGTTTGAAGTTGGTTCCACTAAGGCAAATGCATTTTTGGGTGTCCAGAATGACCAGATGTCTTAGCTGCAAGACCAGTTCTTTTGAATGGGCCTTCCAAGATCCCCTTACTTCAGAGCCAGGTGACTCAGGGCATCAGACACCTGTGATGTCATTTGTGCTGGTATAATGTTCAGGTAGATATCATACTGTTGGTCCATGCCAAGGTAACTGTCGCTCATGAGATACAATGTGTAGATACACCTAAAACATGAAAAGCAGAATCATTAGTTTGGAAATTAGGTCTTGACTACTTGGAAAATATAATAATTGAGTACTTGTGTGGTAATTTTTCCATACTTTCCAGGGGTTTCTGGAGTATAAAAAGCAATAGAAACAGTATTTTTATTTCTGACATATCCTGTTCTCTTCAAGGCAATGAGTTCTCTTTTATCAACTTCTCCCAATATCAGAAACCATCCTTCATCTTTAACTTTGGGGAATCGAGGAGCCACTGCTTTGCTGTCTTGCTTTCCCTGTTGGAGAAAAGAAACAGTTTATTAGAACTAGAAATCTCCATTCCAAAATGCTATTCTTCCTTGAATGAAAACACCTCAAAAATATATTCTCTTACCTAAGATGATAATTTAGACAAACTAAAATATTCTCATGATTTCTTTCAATATGAAGATTTCTTTTTTTTTAAAATAAAATCACAGTCTACAGAGAGAATCCCAGAATACAAGGCACAATTCCACTTATTTTGTGAGCTATTAAAACTTGAATAGAAATACTATTCCCTTTTGTAATTTCACCTAATGTATTCTGAATTCCTCTGTGGAAGGGTTAACTGTAAACCTTGTGTCTTTAAATAATGCTAAGCAATATTGTTCCAGATTAATATAAAGACAACAACAGCACTTGAAGTCTTTATTTGAGGTTGATATAGCAAAAAGAAAGATTATTTCAGTGATTCTTTAAGACAGTGACTTTACTGCTGAAAGCTGAAGATATAACAATACAGACTCAATCAGCATTCATTTTGTGTTCTCTAGATGGAAAGGTTTTACTGAAGATTTCCACGAAAGAAAAAGCACTACCCTAGCAATGAAGCTTCAGCAACAGTTTGATCCAGCTGTTTTTTACAATAGAGGGATCAAATTCTAGGAGAGCTTTATAAAACAGTGAACACTGCAGGAAATGCTCCTGCTCCCTTCTTTCTGTGGCTTCTGGTTAGGAAAATCTCTGTCAGTAACTGCCACAGCAAATATAATGAATTATGGAGGAGCTTTGACCCTTTTTCCTTCCTACAAATGAGAAAGTCTCCCCTTGAAGCTATGGTGAACCTGCCGTAGCCAGGACAAGAAACCTTCTGGAAAAGAAGGATACTTTAAAAATATAAAGTTAACATCAGGATTTACAACAGAACATATATATCTGTGTTACTATTTTTATAAAAATGAAGAGTCTCAGAATTAACATCTGAAACTGTTCTCTGCTTCTATCTTGAACTCTTCTTCTTTGTATATTAACAAAAATGCTGGTATCATTCTTAGTTGTTTGAAATGCTAGAGAAATTAATTAACAAAATTATAATCATGGTGGCACACATGCCACCCACAGTATGCAAATGACAAAAAAATGCATCTGTAAGTAATTGACAGCTGCAGTATCAGCAGGGCCTGGTTTAAATGCAGCAGGCAGGGACTTAATTCTTGTGAGAACCAACAAACAGGTACAATGAGTTCCTGCTGCTCCAGGCAAAGCAGCTGGAAACCTGTGCAGCTGCTGGGTCCATTGAGGTGACCAGTCCAATTGGATGTGCTTTAACTGGGCAAAGGGGTGGGACTGAAGTCTGGGCGTGGAAAAGAATATGTAGAAGTTTTTCTAGGAGCTGTTAAAAAAGCTTCACATGCAAAATATGAGGATGTGTTACGTGTAGAAACATACTTAGAAGTATGGGTCTGGTATGCAGTTTGGAGGTACATGGGAATATGACAGGGAAGCTTATACAGGAAGCAGGATGTGTAAGTGTATGAGTGATAGGAGTCTGGGGCTGGAGAGTACTTGAATTCTGCCTGTGAATGTATCATCTCTACTGTCACTGCTTACAGTACCCAAGTTAATGAACTTCCTAAGTTTCTGGTTTTTAACAAATGATGAGAGACTTTTTTCATTGACTTGAATTGGCCTAGGATTTTTCCTTAAGAGTCTATTTTCTATCCTACTGCAACCTGAAAAAAACATTTGCTTCACTACTAAGAGAGAAAAGGCTTTGAAAGTGCTTATTATTTACTTGATACTTCAACAGTAAAAAAGCCATTCTGCTGTATAAGGCATTATTGATAATGTAAATGGCTTATTGGAAACTTGTGCACTTGGAAAGGAAATTATAAATTAACCTACCTGATACCCCATCTGGGTTCTCTGCAAATTTATTTGGAGCACATACTCTTGATCAGCATGTAATTTGATCCATCTTTTGTCATCTCGTGTGTCAGTTGTCAAAGAGGGAACAGGCACTTCGTGCTGTGGCTGAGCTGGGTCTTCCCAACAGCCCTTAATGCTCAGGCTGACGTTTAGAATTGGCAAACGGCACAAGAAATTCCAAGCCTGCAGAAAAAAAACCCAGATCCCTGTGGATTACAAGACAATCTATACAACTCAGACCATTGTCACTATAACAATTACAATTCAATGTGCACTCTACATATGTATCCTATATTAGTAATATTATGTATCAGAACACCATATATAATCATAAGACTCTCAGTCATTAGCATAAAATACTTTTCATTAACCTCTTACTCTACTTTCTTCTAAGCAAAAAAAACAAATTTGAAACTCCTCAATCACATTACACATGCCTCACAAAGATTAGTGATGTCTGAATACAGGAAAAATTCCTTACCACACCTGATTAAAGTATTTTTTCCCTATAAGCCACTTAAAAACTAGTATAATTAAGTTTTGAATTAAACTTCCTTAGCATAATCCATAAAGGACAAGTCACTGCAGTGCTAATTAGCAATGGGCAAACCTCAGAGAGTTCAGAGGATCAGTTCAGATAATTAAGCAAAAGTTCAACTGCATATCCAAAGTTATCCCTAAGTTTTTTTTTAAGGTTTTCATGCATCCATCTTCCCCACTCCTCCTTACAATCCTCTTGAATAATACTAAGACTCTGTGGTTCCTTATGAACTGTAAGAGGCCCTCAACTTTCACTCATCCTTGTAGAGAGAACTGTTAGATATAGAATTCATCTAGCTGAACATGACACTGTTTTCAACCTTGAAGAGGCATCCTGAAAATGCAGCCCTATACAGCTCCCATTTTGGTCTCCATCAGACAAGGGAAAGCAGCTCTGAGAAGCTGTGATGAAAATGGAGGGGTGTAATGCAGGCTTTCTTTTAGTAAAAACCGGATCAGGATGTTCACTCTGAAATTTGCTAGGAAGAAGAAATGGGAAAATGGGCTGTGGAATGGAGGCAGTGATTTGTGGCCTCACTATGGCTGAAAAAAGATAGATGAGGCTGGCACTGGAAGAAAAACAAATGGAAAACCAAGAACCACCCTCTGCCTTCTGCTCCTTCCCTTCCCTCCAAAATAAAATAGGAAGCAGCACAGCACCCGTGTTTGCAAATAACACATATGAAAAGCTAGAGGGTGGGAAGGAGAAGAAGGCAAGAAGAGCATTCATCTTGGTAAAGAGCCAGCAGATGTCAAAATGGGAACTTGTGGGAATGAAGAGGGTAGCCATAGTTGCATGGGCAGTACTGGCATGGAACATAGATGTTTTCTCTGGAAGAAGATGAAAGTATATTTTATTTTTAAGTGTTGGTCTGACCATCTTGTGTTTCAACAAAATCAATTTTAATTTAGATTGTGCTTGATGTGACTCTGATTACTTTTTCTGTGCTGGAAGGCATAAAGCCCTAGTAAAAGCTCCGTTTGCTTTTCAGAGACATCATTGCCATGATCCAACCTGACAATAACATTATATGTTAGTACATAGTTACAGATCCAGCAGCCAGGGCAAGCAGGCCTAACATTGCACTGCTGTAGGAAAAGGTGCTGCTGTTCCTCTCTCCAACACCCTGCTCACCAGCTGGCTGTTCCTACCTCCATCCCCAAGAGGTTGGCACTACCATGCTGTGATTGTGCAGCTAGATGGATCAGCTTGCTAATCATTTTGGTGACAGCATGAACTCAGCCCAGCTTAAAGCTGATTGTGGAAGCATATTCTCTAATCCTGTGAGTACCCTGAATAAGCATGAGCCTTCAGTGGCACCGAAAGAACTGGGCCAGCCTCCTCCCCTGCTGGCACAAGCGTCTGCGTAGCCACTTGGCTACAGGCCATTCTGACTGTCAGTGAGAGGGTTGATATGATCCCTCCTCCCCAGATGCTTGTTCCCACCTCCTCACCCAAACCAGCCCCAGCGTTTGTGCAGCTGTGCAGGGAGCTGGGTCAGGAGAGGTGAAAATGGCACGGGGAGGGCAGGACTGCCCATTTCGGCTGCAGCACAGACTTAATGCTGGATTAAAATGGCTGCATTACCAGAGCCTGCCTGAACTAAATGAGAAAACTGATTTACGCTGAAACTAATCTCTCTCCCCCTTCAGTCTTCTGTGTGCTGCACCAGCAGCTGTGCCTGTCCAATGGAGAAAGTGGGGAGGGCCAGCTGTGAGTGCCCAGGAACCGCAGCAGGGAAAGCAGGGGACACCAAGGAACTGCACTGAAGTTCTTCAGTGCCTTAGCTAAGAAAGGGCAGGGAAACTATACCAGAAGAGAACAGCTAGAATGTTTCTGTCCCAACTCTGAAAGGGAAAAGGGGAGGGGAAAGGCAGCACCTTGAAGAAGGAGAAAAAACAGCACAGACATTTTTAATGAATGAGTTGTTGCCAGGATTTTCCTGCATTTGACACATGAGACACTAGTAAGCTCACCTCCAGCAGGTCACAGTGGATGAGACAACTTGAGTAGCAGTAAAGCCTTACCTGACAAATTATTTTCTGTTTAATGGAAAGGTTTTTAAGACGAAGCTTGCTGTCAGAACTGTGCAGGTGCGCTCTGTGAGACTCTCCAAGCACAACAGCATTGCAGAGGCACCCAAATATATACCAGCTCTGTCATCCCCCCTTTGGTTATACTTTAGCTGCCATTTACCTGGAAAACTTATGAGCAGAACCTCAGAGGACCTGTTACAATTCTGGTAGAGCATGGTCTGGTTTATAGTGTACAACCCCAACATATTCTATTTGTCAAAGGCTGTCATGTCCTCATGTAGCTTTTACAGTGCAAACAAAACAAAGTAACTACGAGTAACTTCCTAATTCCATAAAAGCAGTTGCAATATGTAATTCTCCAGATCTTGTGTAGCTGGAAATTAAAGGCCAGGTTAGTCCTGCCTGACCATTGATGCAGTATGGATAGCTGCCTGTCTTTTTATCATCCATGCAATATAAAGAAAGTGAAGAAATGCTTTTCCTACTGAGGAAGAAAGTCAAGTAGTAGCAGCCAAAAATGAAAAAGAGTTATTACAGGAACACAGATACTTCCAGAGTAAAAGCAGCTAATATTACAGCAAGAATAATACTTTTTTTTTTCGATCTTGAGGTTTCTTTTTTTCTCTTTCAATAATATAAATATCAGCTGAGTATTTTAAAAGGTGCCTAATGCTTAAGTGACTTAGAAACTGGGGAAAATTTGCTAAATATGACTCAGAATGAATCACTGAAACAACCATGGAGCTTAGGTCAAAGATCAGGTACAGTCTGAATAGTTTTTGAATACAGGAATATAGACTGTCAGTTTTTAAAGCCCTGCTGACTTTCAGTGAGATTTAGGATGATAAATAACTTTTGGGAAATTAAACTCAGATTCTTGCATCACTTAGGTATTTCTTGACAATTTTGCTGTTTTTTTTGTTATACAGGATGACACAACCACATACCATCTCCTTTTAAATATATCAACATGTGTGCATGCACATATATACTATATATACCTACCAAACCCATAGATTCAAATCATAATCACATGAGAAATTCTTCATGAACCTTTGATAACATCATTAGCATTTTTGCCAATCATCTGTCTCCCCAGGACTTAGCCTAATATTCCAAATCCATGAGCAGCTTCAAGAGCTGCTATTTAGAAATTAATTACCAATCTGCCTAAAAGACATTGTCTTCTTTCCAAATGTGAAATTTCTTCCTTCCTGTCTGCCTCAAATTTATGTAAAGCTTAAGCTGTTTTTACCAGCTTCATGCTAGTAACATGTTTAAGATAAAGGTTCAGTGTACTGTGAATGAGAAATAAAAGGTTTGTTAGGAAAGGAATGTTTTTGGCAATTTAGTGGTGTACTTACTACTTTACTTGACTTTGTACAGGTCTGGTGCTAGAATGCAAGGCTTAAACTCCATAATCTCACATTCTTTCATTATAGAAAATAAATTATAAAGATGCATTTCCTATTGAAGAATTTTTCTCTTTGTTGCCCCTAAGTATGAATTGAGGGACTTTATACATGAAGGCATTCAACAGGCAGTCTCAATATGAATTTTAATTCTTTACAAGGTATTAGAATAGGGTTTTTTTCCCTGAAAAAAAAATGCTGTAAAGAAAATATTGGTATAGATGTCTCAACACTTGCAGTGACCTGTGTAATACAGTCATGGCTTTGCTGTATCCAACACAGCCATTCCCAACTCAGGGAGCAGTAACTTTCTCCTTATATGATGCTAAGTGCCTGATGTATTTCCCTCTTATGTGCATCTGTATTTACAAACACAGACATATAGAAGCACAGAGTCATTCACAGTGTGAACGTACACACCACAAGCTATTTTTGAAGAAACTGCTAAGACATTTCAATACCAGCCAAACATATTTATCTGAGGATTAATCTTCATCTATTGAATCAGACGAGAACACTGCCATGCATACAATTATTTAATTAGCAGCCAAATCCTCTGCCAGTCAGCAGCCGTTCCAAGCATACTGATGGGGCAGTAGATGCAAATCTCACAGTAGTACTGCTTTTTCTCATTACTACTGCAATTAGCACTTAAATTGATGCTTTAAACATACTAATTTCTGGAATAATTCAGGATTTGTATGTTACCTGGGATCGCCTCACTGCAGAGACGACACCAGATTGCTACGCAAATTGAAGCACTTTTGAGCCAAATAACCATCATCATATCAGACAGAGCCAATTTGCATTTGCTTTTAAAGATAACAGAATGGCAATTTATGCAAATAAATTAAGTAAGTTTACTTCTGAGTTCTCCCTGAACTAATTATAACAATGTTCTAATTTTTTATCACATCTGAAATTTGGATTGAAATCAATGTGTATTATGTTAGAAATCTGTTGTTAAAGAAGCCTTGCTTTGATGTCAATACATTTTCTTAATTCAGAATTTTGATGTTAATTTAGTTACAAATGCAGATGTCTGTTACAGACATTTAAGTACTTTTCCTCTTGTTTGCATACCAGTAAAAGGTTTAACTGAAGCTGAACAGTCAAACACAGGACATATTGCTGTCCTTTTCAATATTCAGATAAAACCCATGTGAAGCATAGCTTTTGAAATGTTCATCTTTCATACAGTTCTTTGAAATCAGGAGGCTTTGTGTGTGATGAATGCCATGGAATATAGCTGCTCTTTGCTGGAAATGGCTTAAAAACCAAACTGAGACAGTGGTTTTGATTTCCCCCTGTGAAGTGTAAAAATTCCATCTGCTTTTTCCGTCTCAAACAGAAACTGAGTGCTGGATCTTTCAGCAAGGGTGCTGGCAGAAGAAAATGGTGTGTGACAGAGCACTTCAGAAACCACTACAATGACATTTGCAATGCCTGTATTCCTGATGCAGAGCCTGCTGTGGAAAGGTGGGTAACACAGCAGATCGAGTGACACAGAGAAGCATCTTTAAAGCAAAGAGATGAGGTAATACCAGCCATAAACCTGTTACTGGTTAGCAGGGAGTAAGTGAAAATAACACTAAGAAAACAGGGAGGGAAGGACCTTTGTAAAGCAGGAACTTGAAATCTGAGCAATGCACGTGTTGCACTCAATGCAGAACATCACATGGTATTTGCTGAAGGGAAGTGAAGAGACTTACTTCTTTTCCCAGCTGCTCTTCCTTTCCAATCACATGGATAATGACCACAGATAGAAAGTATTACCTGTGAAATTTGTGCTGTTTGCAGTTCACTGTCCACGATGGAAGCAAAAACATTCTCTTTTCCTTCACAGGCAGCCATTAGCTCGGGAAGACACTCGATAGGTCCTTGGTAACCTCCATGCACACTCTTCCTTCTGCCTTGGCTCCACTTCCTGACACAGACAGCAAAACATATGCCCAGGGAGGGAAAGCAAACATTTGTTTTCAGTTGTTTTGGTGCTAAAACTTGATACTGGTTTCTGCTATTAAATGCTGGTCATTTATTTTTGGGTAGTATTAATTACTGCATCCTCCAGGCAGCATTAATTACTGCATCCTCCAGGCATCTACAGAGCTTAGCATTATCTACGATATTAAGATGGATACTAATGTATTTTTATAATGGATTAAAATAAAGAGATAATTAATATACAGAGTTAGATTCGTTAGGAGTTGGAACCTTTCCAGTTATCTCCTGCTAATTTGTCTGGAATCACGGTTCTCAAAATAATCTGCAGGGGTTAATCAATGAATATTGAAAACAGAAACAACTCCTTTTGGGAAAGCATCACTGTGAAAGGCTGAGTTCTGCTTCTGCTGCATTACTGATCATTCTCAGGCACAACAATGACATTCAGACACAATCAGCAGTGAGAGGTGGAATGAAACTGCAAATGTTCAGAGGAATTACATACCGGAAAAGGTAAAGGTGTTGTAGCTCTATATTGGGCAAAGTAAGCAGGGAAGAGTCATGTAACCATCTACCCTGAACCACCATCTGCACTAGACTGGTTATGTTCAGAGCAGTCACCAGCCAGCCATGATGTGCTGCAACATCCAGCATTGCCTAATTAAAGGAGACATAAAGATAATTGATGTATAATTTTGTAACTGCTTCATGCAAGCAAAACCATTTATTTAATGTCTAACATACAGGAATTTCCAGGCCTTCACAATAGGAATTTACTTCAGCCTCTACTGATGGCAGTAGGCACCTTTTGAATTAACCTTCAGAAAAAGATGGATTAAATCCTGCATCGTCACCATCATCAACTTGTACCCTTGAAAAGGTAATTTACAACATAGTTTTGGGGGTGAGAACAATAGGTGGGATCTTCTTACAAATAACCTCTTATTTTATGTAATACAACTCAGAATGAAAGAAATAAATCTCAACATTTAGTGAAAAGGAAGAAGTTAAATTACCTGCAGCACTGGTTTATATCTGGACATGAGAGCTTCGTCAGAATTGCATATGTATCAAAAAAAATCCTTAAACTACCAAACAACAACATATTTCCAATTGTTAAAAAATAGATACTAAAGCCACCTACCAGTAAGAGTTATTACTCCCACTTTAACTTAAGGACTTGAAAAAATCTCTTGAATTGGGCTAGATAAAAACTAGATGAAGTTTAGGTTAATTAGCATTTTTGAGGTTTTGTTCAACAGTGACACCTAACTTGAAATCTTGAAGAGAGACAACACAGTAGCCAACAGTTTACCTAGGGTGAATAAGAGCATTCAGAAATAACATGGATTTCACCCTTTGCATTGTTAACAGTTGATTGTCTTGAGCATGAGGGATGCTTGGCTGTCTCTCTTTTGGCATCTCTATCTTGGGTCTGAAAAGCTTTCCCTAAGTACATCAAAAACCCAAGCAAACAAACCCCCCAATCCAGCTATACATCACATTTTCAAGTGTTAGTGATCCCTCCTGCCTTCCACATCTGGTGAGTTTCTGTTCCATTTCTACTTACCATGTTTAGATACTACAAGGTAGACTTTAAGTATCAGTAGAATAAGGATCTAAATCTGCAAAATTATTATAGATTCTGCACTGCAAGTGGCCCTACTGACATAAAAAAAATTGTTATGCTTTTTTCCTGACTGGACTTAAATTCTGTTTGGTTAGTCTGAAAGAGAACTTAAGATTTCTTCCAAAGGAGAAAGTATCAAACACAAACTTTTGCCTTCAACTTTCTTTTTTTTTTAATAGTAAATGCAGTTCTTTGAATACATACTCTTCAACCTGTCGAGAGTACTAGAGTACTTTAAAACAATTACTACAATTTATAGAAGCATTTCATCTGTTGAAGAAAATTATGCTGTAATATGTCAGTTGTCTTGGTTATTTTGTTGTTTAATACCATCACAATCACAATCAAGTGTGGTTCTTCATATTACAACCCTCTAATTCAGTAGAAAGTAATATATTTAAAAGTGATTTGCCATGTAGAAAAGATTAAAATACTAGAAAATGTTTTTTAAGAAAGCAAGAAAGAGTCTAGTATATTGACATTTCAACATGTATTCAAATACCATCTTCTTGATCTTAGGGGAGCTGTCACTTGATTTTAGGACTAGGCTGGAGATGTTTCCTTGTTTTTTATTTTAAAGACAAATTATATTGTTTGATACTTCCTTAGACTGCAGATACCTGCATAATTTGAACTTATTTTCCAGCCACCAGTGTAATGAGGAGAGGCTGTCTATGTAAGTCTTTACATTTAATCAAATGTTTTACAGACAAACAAAAGGCAGCATTTACTTAAGGCAAACTAAACAGTGAAATCTTCTTTAAACAAAGGAGTTGTTTACACACGCAGAGCTATTTCAATTACATTACACTGATTCTGGAGAAATACTGAGTTTAAAGACACAAGTTAGTTTCAGCCCTGGCCAGTCACACAGTTTATTTTAGCAGTTTACAATGCAATTTCAACAGGTTTTATTCCAGATCGGGGCGATAAGATCAGTGACACTTAGCAAAATATTTGAAGTGTACCTGGTATTACACAAATGTTGTCTCATTTCTCATGAATTGTGGATAAAGTGCCCTTTGGTGAATAAAGATCTAGATTTAACATTTAACTTGTCTTTTTTGAAGGAAGAGCCACAGCACCCTGAAGCACCCTAGTAACATTCCTAGTGACCCTAGAAATAGTACCTCATGGCACAGTATCAATGGTTTTCTTTTGTCTTTTCCCTTGGCTGGCTAAAGTGATTTCCAGGTATGATTCTTTTAACCCATCAGAAAATAAAATTGTGGTAGAAGCTGCATTTGAAAGGAGCAGCTCCATGGCCTGGAGATTTATGTGTTGGTTCACGTGATTTTTAGTTGGATAAAGAGGAAATAGTTCTCAGCATATAGCAAGCAGAGTGAAGTCCATCTTTTAAACTTACAGGGCAAGCTGCTCTTTACCCCCTTCTAAATTTTAAGTATACGTATGGTGTGTGTATATATATATATATACACACACTACATGTATGGTACTGTCTGTGTCTCTGAGCGTATTGCTCAGACAATCTGGTACCTCTCTCCTCCACTACCTGCTTCTTGTTCTTTCATTCC